ACAAAACATCATCACATCAACCACTAGCCACCTTTAGCTTAGCGCTGTGCTGTCATTTATTTGCAGCCTAACATTAGCTCTTTACTTCTGTTAATGACATTTAGGCTTTCGAAAATCCTGAAAATGCTGGAGACATGTGAAAGGGTTTCTGAATTTCGATTCTTAGGTGTGACGCTGGATGAAAACCTGACATGGAAATCACACATAGCACATGTTAAAACCAAAGTGTCTAGGAATATTTCTGTTCTAAACAAGGCAAAGTATTTGCTAGATTACAAGGCATTGAGGATGTTGTACTGTTCACTCAATTTGCCATTTTTCATTTATTGTATAGAAGTGTGGGGCAACACGTATATGAGCAACATAAAGCCATTGTCAATATTACAGAAAAGGGCAGTAAGAATAATTCATAAAGCTGACTCAAGAGAACACACCAACAGACTGGTTTTTAAGTCAGGACTCTTGAAACTCAGAGACATAGCTGAGCTGCAGACATTATCAGTAATGCACAGGGCACAAAGCAGAATGTTACCAGCATGTTTACAACAGTTATTTGTTTTTGGATCAGGCAAGGAAGACCACAGAAGGAAATTACATTTTAAGCATCCATATGCAAGGACTACTCTTAAACAAATGTGTATTTCGGTAGTTGGTGTACAATTGTGAAATTCTCAACACAAGGATCTAAAGAATTGTAAATGTATTTTTCATTAAAGAAGTTGTATAAATTAAGAAAGATGGGACTATATGAAGCAGAATGTGAACAAGTCTATGTACTCTGGTCCTTCATGTTTTTGATGTCTTTGATGTGATGTCTCCTCTGTATTTGCGGGTCCCATTGCCATTGTTATTGTTGTTATTGTTATTATCATCATGTGTCGCTTTCCACCTTCTTCTCCAGTAGGACTCAGATGAGGGTGTTGCACTTTTCTTTTCCTTATACATGTGATGTTTTGGTGTTGTTTTGTTTCTTTCCGTTAACCGTCAAGTGGGAAATAAGTATTTTTTGTGTGTTTCTCTTAGTATCCTAAGATACTGTTATGATTGGCTGTGAAAAAAAAAAAAAAATATTATTATGAAGGGCAGACCATCTATTTTAGAAAGGGGCAGGTCACATAAGATGTTATTCTTCTCCCTGCTCCTTTTCGCTAAATGGTAGAGTCATGTTTTGTGGCAATTATTGTACATTTGGTTTTGCGGGACAAATAAAAATGAAATGAAATGAAATTATCGCGCTGAACAAAACATGTAAGTATCATCAATGTTTGTTTGCCAAACACGCTCCATTTCTGCTATAATACTAAAAAACACCAGTGTTAAAATACCAATGGCGTTTTATCAAGGGAGCCCTTGTGATGCTTACTTCCAGGTTGGAAGCCAACAATATGTCATCCCTGCAACACTCTGTAGACAGAAGTTAGAGACTGGTGACTTGCAGGAAGAAAGTTAGCAGACAGGAAATGCTGAGGGCTGTGAGGCTGGACATTTGGAGAGTTTATAGGCCCTTAGGTGCTCAGATAAAGCGCTCATCAGTCATGATTTTTCACTCACTTTCCGTTGTTCCATCATCAGAGCAGCCTCTTGGACCTGCCAACAAGAGGCTATTTTCCAATCCACATAATGAGGAAATATCATATAATTCTTCCCAAAGTGAGTCAGCTGATTCCATATTGGTTACTTTGTACTGTTAGAAAAGAACAGGGTTTGAGGAGCTAATGAAGAGGCAGCAGGAAACACTTAAAACTGCTAACCCCATGTGGTATTACAGCAGAAAACAGGTTCCTTACAAACTGTTGTGGCAATCCATCAACATAGCTGATGTTTCAATTCAAAGGGATAGACCGACTGACAGCCCTTGCAAGACATAAAAGATATTGATCAGAAATGTTGGCTGTGGTTGCTGTACGATATTCAGTTCAATAATGCTAAAAACTACCACTAATTCCTGAAGGTTTCCCTTCAGTTTCCCCAAGTTTTTATAGCAATAGTGTACATCCATCCCAGGGCAAATGCCACCTCTGCCTCCAGCACTATCTTTGATTTGGTGCAAAAACTGCAGTCAATTTCACCTGACGCACCAAACTTTATACTTGGGGATTTTAACCATGTGACCCTTAAAAAGACACTCACTAACTTTTATCAATATGTCTCCTGTCCAACCAGGCGAGATAAAACATTAGACCTGTGTTATGGGTCAGTAAAGGAAGCCTATAAGTCAGTCCCATTACCCCCACTGGGCTCTGCTGATCATAACTGTGTGCATTTACTGCCCATATACAAAACAGTTTTTGCGATGCGAGAGAAAACATTGACAAAGGACATAAATGTCTGGACAGAAGAATCTATAGCCTGTTTGCAGGAATGTTATGACTGCACTGATTGAGATATGTTCAAAGAGTCTTGTGGTGCCGACTTGGATGAAGTTGTTGATGTAACATGCTCATATACAGCCTTTTGTAAAGACATGATTATTCCGTGTAAGCAAGTTACAATATACCCTAATAACAAACCATGGGTGACCAAGGCGGTTAAGTCCAGCATTCAGAAAAAGAAACAAGCTTTTAAACAGGGAAGTGCCTCTGATCTGCATGATGCTAATAGGGAACTTAAAATAGAAATTCTGAAAGCTAAACAGAATTTTAAATCTGAACTACAAAACAAAATGGCTGCAAACAACCTTGGCTCAGTCTGGAGTAGCATGAAAACCATAACAGGCCTCCGGGAAACAAAGAATAGCTGCCATGTGACTCTGGATGGCTTTAATTCAGATGTTGAGTTTGCAAATGCCCTAAATCACTTTTTTTCTCGATTTGACACATTTGATTTCAGTAATAATATATCTGAACTGAAGCTCAAACTTGAAGACAATAAGCATTTTAACATAGATCAGAGGGAAGTGGAAAAGGCCTTTCGTTTAGTAAAAATAAATAAGAGTCATGGACCTGACAACATCTGCGGTCGTTTACTTAAACTTTGCGCAAAAGAACTTAGCCCTGTGTTCCACTACATTTTTAATATGTCTTTACAGACACAGCATGTGCCAAAGGTTTGGAAGGATGCTGTGGTAGTCCCTGTCCCCAAATCCAGAGGCCCAAAAACTCTTAACGATTTTAGAACAGTTGCACTGACATCAATTCTAATGAATACATTGGAAAAACTAGTCAGAGCAGAAATGTTAAGGAAGACTGAGCATGCACTCGATCCCATGCAGTTTGCTTACAGGCCACACAGAGGAGTGGAGGATGCCACGGTCACCTTATCTGACTTACTTTTTAAACACTTGGAGGGAATTGGATCTCATGCTAGACTTTTATTTGTTGATTTTTCCTCTGCTTTTAACACAATTCAACCTCATATTCTAATTGGCAGACTTTTAGAACAATTTGAAATAAGCAATAATCTTATGGGCTGGATTCTTGATTTTTTTAACCAATAGGACACAAAGAGTGAGGGTGAATGGGACCTTATCTGATCAAGTCAGCTCCTCCACTGGCTCCCCACAAGGATGTGTCCTTTCACCACTATTATTTATACTTTACACTAATATGTGTCAAAGTAGGTGAGAAAATAGGACTATTTTAAAGTATGCAGATGACTCTGTAATTGTTAGTCAGGACAATGAGACCAGCCACGGCCCTGTCATTGACGACTTTGTCAGGTGGTGTGAGGAGTCCTATCTACAACTGAACATAAGCAAAACCAAGGACATGATCATTGATTTTAGAAGACATCCCCACATACATGAAGTCTTAACAATCCAGAATCAGAAAGTAGAATTTGTGCAATCATACAAATATCTCGGGACAATTATTGACTCAAAATTGAGCTCTGATCCAAACTGTGAAGCTGTGTGCAAAAGGGGGCACCAGCGTTTGTACTGTCTTAGGAAATTGTCCTATTTTAACATTGACAAAACCATGATCATGTTTTATCGTGCTTTTATCGAGTCCATTCTGTCTTTTTCACTAATGTCATGGTTTGGTAACCTGACTTTAAAGAGCAGAAACTCTCTGAGTCAGATCATAAAGTGGTCCAACAGACTGATTGGTGAGCCACAGCTAAACCTGGAGACCCTGTACCTCAGGCAGTTACAGCGGTTATCCAGCTCCATATTAGACGATGACTCCCACCCTCTGCACTCAGAATTCAAGCTTCTTCCTTCGGGCCGGAGGTTACTTGTCCCAAGGAGTAGAACGAAGCGGTATAAAAACAGTTTTATCCCAGCAGCTATTGCACAAATTAACACATCATAGGAGCGTCACACAGATGCCTATTTTTATTTATTTATTTAATTGTGAATTTTGAATGTCCATGTTTGTACTAGTGTTTTCCTTCTTAAAATATTTTGAGATTTGGTTGAGCAGGGTATACTTGTACCTGTACTTTTACTAGTCCTTTATTAGAGATGTGTCTGTTGTTTGTGTTTATTTTTAGTGTCAGGATAGAACCCTTGTCTTTTTCTCTGCAAACATAATCTACCTACGGGTACAAATAAATAACCTGAACCTGAACCTGAATAAAAACAAATCATTTTTTTGCAAAACAGTAATATTTAAGGAATAGCACCTAAACAATATTAAAAGAATAGAAGTTGTGAATTAAAAAAGCAAGTACAAATGTAAAATCAACTAAATGAACTAAAGTATCAAAAGTAAAAAGTAAATCAACCTTATAAACATACCGTTATGAGTGAAGTATACTTTTTATTCACACAATTCGCCAGTTGTATCACTTGTATATTTAAAAAATAAAAGTTAAATAGTTTTTAATATGTCCTTGATAAGCACATACAACTCCAATGAATTATATATAATAAAACATTTTCCATGAATTTAATGTTTAATGTATCATGTTGCAAATGTGTAATTAAATGTAATGAATTAATAAATGTTTACAATACATATTAATAACAACGGAAAATATCTTTGTAAAAAAAACGAGGTCACGCCGTGCCTTCTCTGCAGCCAATCAGCGCCATCCATTCGTGATGACGTCACCAAACTCCCAACTTCAGGAAGTTGGAACTTTCTTTATACGAGTCGAGTTTTAACTGACGTTTCAGCGATAAATTAACTCGTTTTAGACAAAAAAACGAGCAGCAGGGGGATTTATTATTGTTTATTTCTTTGTATGATATAAGGAAGTAGCTTTGTGGATCAACTTTGTTCGAGTCGGAGAAGCAGCAGGACTTAAAACTGACTGAAGATGTTAGCATCGAGTCTGTTAGCTAACTACTGTACAGAGCTACATGATGACCAGGCTCTTAAGGTGAGTCCTGCTGTAAGACACTTTGATTTATACTGACAGCACATTTGAATGTGTTTTCATACTGTGAGAAAGTAAAAACAGGGGTCCATCAGGTAGCCCCCCTCCTAGCATCAAGGGTGGGGGAAGTACTCAGATCTTGTACTTGATTAAAAGTGTAGGAATACTCTGTTACAAGTAACATTCAGGATTCAAAATGTTACTCAAGTAAAAGTAGAAAAGTATTAGCATCAAAACAAACTTAAAGTACCAAAAGTAATCATTATGCCCGTTTCAGAATAATATATATTATATGTTTTGGTTATAATTATTGATCCATTAACAAACGTTAAATACTTGATGTACTGCTTGGAAGTATGGGAATGTAATACAGCTGTAACTAAAGTCTGATTTAAGTGTTGATCATATGGTTTATCATTAATCTATATCTGCAAAGTAACTACAGGTCCTACCAGTGGCGGCGCCAGAGATTTTCTCTAGGGGGTGCTGTGGGGTAGCTTGACGTTTCATAGAGGGTGCTCAAACATTAAGGGTTTCCCATTAATGCACCAGCGCTACAGTTGAATTTTCTACTGCAACACTCCCCACACGCACACACAGTGTACCCGCGACTGTTACAATGAAGGCTCGGTAATCAGCTCACGGCATAGGTGTAAGCAGGAGTAAAGTGCTATTTTTACAAGTGGTGTGTGGACCTCACCTCCTCTAGGAGGGTCCTCACCTTCTCTAGTGGGGTCCGGGAGAGCTTGCTCCCCCGGGAAGATTTTTTTTTTAAATATTGAAGTTAAAAGCATCAATCTGGTGCACTTTGAGAGCAAAATGAAGAGATCTATGGATATACAGTATCTCTCAACATACATATGAAACAGAACTGTAAACAGATTTTCTATTTCTTTATAGATATTTTACAAATCACTCCCCTTTAAAAACAAACCGTTTGAGACCCACTGAGATAACTAGACTAAAGTTAACTATCTAAACACTGAGAGTCCTTTACTTCACCTGAGCTGAGGTTATCTGAGACTCTCCGTCTGACAGGAGATAGTTCTCCCTCCACCTTGTTGTTGAAAAAGCTCCTTATATCCGTTAGCTTGGCTAGCTAGCACCAGATGCTAACCACAACGATCTCCGGTAGATACCCACCGGTGCGCGCACACAAAATGGCTCGTGCCACACACACACAGAGCAGAGCTTGAATGAAACAGACCCAGAAGTAAGCTACTTGTACTCACAAGGCATTATGTGCAGAATCCCTCTCGCTTTCAGTTGGTTTTGATTGAGTGTCCACACGTGGACGTTTAAGGACTAAAAAACGATCCATTTGTCACTTTGCTGTTAGCAAATAATGTGGGGCTCCAGCTAACAGGAAGTCACTCAAGTGTCACAAAGTAATTTAGCCTATGGGTAGGTCAAAAATCTAATGGGTGCTGGCCATTGGCCTAATCATATCACCTGTGTTGGCTTTATGTTTTTGGTCAAACATTTGTTTGTTTCACATTTGCATTGATGTAATCAATAATTTTTCTAATTTAATAAAAATAATAATAAAATAAAATAAAATAAAACATATTTCTTGGGGGTGCTTAGGGGGTGCTTTGGCAATCCTGGGGGGTGCTTCAGCGTCATAGTGCGTCATAGAGCGTCATAGGCGGCGTGTGGTGCAGTGGGTTGTGCGTTGGTGTTGGCATCAGGGGTCACAGGTTCAAACCCCACTGCAGTCAGCATGTCGTTGTGTCCCTGAGACCCTTCACCCCAAATTGCTCCTGTGGGGATTATCCACAGTATTGAGTATGTAAGTCGCTTTGGATAAAAGCGTCTAAAAAGTGACATGTAATGTAATGTTACGTCATAGAGCACCTGCGAGCTCAGAAAAGGCCGCAAAGCAATGCCTAACATGCCCGCCTAAATAATAAAACAACAGCCAGTGGTGGAAGCAGTTCTCACACTTGCTAAAGTCAAAGAAGCAATACAATAATATATGGTTGGTAAAGCGCTATACAGGTACAGTCCATTTACCAATTACAATAGAATAGTACTCGTTCGTCATTATAATAATAATAATAATAATAATAATAACACTTTATTTAGCACTTTTCATACAACACATGCAGCTCAGAGTGCTTTATAAAATGACACATCACAAGTTAAAAATAAACAACAAGAAATTCCCCTCAGATTATTTGTTAGAACTTTAAAAGGTACATGCAGCAAAATATAACATTTGATCAGGTTAATAGACACAAGGAGGTCAAATGTATGATAATAAAATATAATAAATAATGGTTTCTCTGTGACAGATAAGACACAAGACAACTGAGTCGATGCAACAATATGAAATACAAAACCCCGTAAAACAAAGTGAACATATAGGTACGACAGAAATACAAATATTAAGACCTATAAAACAATATAAAAGTAGGTAAATAATAAAGACTAAAAGAACATTTAAAGTGGGGGGTTGCTTTCAAAAAGCTAAAAAGATGTGTCTTTAGCTGGTGTTTATGACCCTGCTGATGGATATCGTAACCAACAATTATATGTCAATGTATTTACATTTTTTATTATTGTTTTGTATGAGCTGACAATCTTAATCTGTTAAGTAACAAAGAAGTGGATTGAAAAGTACAATATTGGTTTTGAAAATGAAGCATAATGTAGCGTAACATTAGAATACTCATATCATCATATGCAACTCCATATTCAATAACAGGAAGATATTTCAAATGTCAACACCTGAGCTTCTCCTTTCCTACTATGATCATTTACAATGTGATAAAGCCCTTTGTAAAATAGCTTACCGGTAACATGCGTATATTGCACTGCTGCACCTCATTTATAAATTGTTTCCGATTTAAGTGAAACTCATGATAGCATTCTTTTGCAATCATAGCATTTCTTCTCAGTAATCAGACTCTGAATCAGCCACTGATTTTTGTAGGTTTGCAAGAAAATTTATTTGTCTTGGCCATTTTGTACTAACATAACAAAAGCAACTGGACAGATTATGTTTTGAATAGTGATGGCCTTCACCTATTTGCCCTGCTGATTGCCTCCATTTTGTACTAACATAACAAAAGCAACTCTACTCCTTCCCTACTTTTTGAATAGTGATGGCCTTCACCTATTTGCCCTGCTGATTGCCTCCATTTTGTACTAACATAACAAAAGCAACTGTACTCCTTCCCTACTTTTTGAATAGTGATGGCCTTCACCTATTTGCCCTGCTGATTGCCTCCATTTTGGATTGGGGAAATTGTGTTTTTTCCATGTTCCATCAATTGTCCTTTTATTCATACAACCATTTTCCTTTGCCCTCTTGTGGCTACTTAAATGCAAAGTCAAATAAAGGAAAGGAAAAATAGCTTGTCACTCAAGGACACTCATCTGACATGCTGTGTTGTGAAATTGTGTTTGGAAGTTTTCTAATATCCTCTCAATGGGCCTTAGAAGTCTAAATGCTATTTGCTGATTAGTAGGCAAACATTTTAGATTAATTGTAAAACAGTAATCTACAATTTGCATTTAAGTTCAAAGAAAATAGAAATAGGGTTGTAACAAAATACAGGTTTAAATGATATTTTGTTGTATTAAATGATACCATGTATAATTGATAACTTCCTTATGTATGAGAACTTCTCTCTAACAATTCTCTCTTGAATTAAAAGCTTAAGAAAATCAAGAAATGGTCTCTTGTTCTTGTAGTAAACTGTTAAACTTTACTGATGGATCCTGAGGATTTATGTGGATTACAAATATAAAAGAAGGGAAAGAAAACATTGCATTTGCTTTTGTAGGACCCATATTTAGTGTTCTTACACTCCCTCCGATCCCCTAGCTTTCCCGCTGTGTCAGGAAAACCGGCCTGTATACCCGGCCTGTTTTGAATGTCATATCTTAATTTGGTCAAGCGTTTTCTGTTCTTTGGTAAACAAGGAAGTGTTTAATGTTTAGCTCAGACACATAATCAGACCATGGGGCCAAGTGCCCTAGAGGGGAAAGCTGATAAAATACATTTGAAGTCTATCATTGTAACTTTTTAACGCTCAAAACCTCAGCAGGGTTCAATTTGGTGCTGAAATAAAGCAAGCTAAAAATTAGTAAAAGTATTTTCAGACTTATATGTATATCTATAAACTAATGCACTACATATACAAAAGCAATGACGAGCTAAACTGAAGCCTAATCAGGTTAAACTGGCACCTGAAGAAAATACAAGATAAGAGTCAAACAGCAGCAGATGGACAGTTTAGTTTGTTATTGTTCATGTGTAAATTCAACATGTGCATTTTCTACTTTTTTTGTTTATTTCTAGTGTTTTTAATTTGTATTGTACAATGCCATGTCTTTTATGCTGCTGCAACACAAACATTTCTTCTATCTTATCTTATCTTATCAATAAAAACCTTTAAAAAGCAGGATCAAATGGACAGGCTTAATAAAATGTCTAATTATTTTACATATGATATTGCTCAGGATAGGATATTGCACAAGAATACAATAATTCTGCATTTTATTTACTCATGTTGGTGGTGATAACTATATGCATTTTAATCTGGGCTCATGTCACATTTAAAACAAGAGCTTTATATACTAATTACTACCCCCCCCCCCTTTAAATATCTACTGTATATTCTATATTTTAGACCTTGGGTGCAAAGGTTGCCCCCCAAATATCTTTTCAATTTCCTTCACTAAATGTAACAATGTCTCTTCTCTCAAATGGTTCAGGTGGACAAATACCTGCACCACTTCCAGCTGTCAGATAAGACTTTGATGGATCTGTCAGTGAGGTTTCGGAGAGAGATGGACCGAGGTCTGAGCCGAGACACCAACCCCACCGCTGCCGTCAAGATGCTGCCCACGTTCGTGCGCTCCACTCCTGATGGAACAGGTAACACTCGTCTCATTTAGGAAATGTTAGTATATATAATGTTAAAGCATCAATCTGAGGTGTGGTTCAGAATTGTTTCAATGTTGTTTCTGTGTGATAACTATTCACCTGTACGATATTTCATTAACATAAGACAAGATAAAATAGTACTTTATTGATCCCAATTTGGGAAATGTTTGTGTTGCAGCAGCATACAATATATGGCATTGTACAGTACAAATTAAAAACACTAGAAATAAACAAAAAAAGTTGAAAATATAAATGTTGAATTTACAAATGCACAATAACAAGATATAGTATAAGTATGTGACAGATGGAATATTAAATATTAAACTGAATATATAGATGTAACATGTACGGTGTGATTGTATTCCAAGAGAACATAGAGACCAGTTCAACATTAATAACAATTGTTTACATTATAACACAACTGTTGTAATATATATTATATTACAATGTGCACAGGTGCATGGATTTATTGCAAAGTAGGTTTGGTTTGATGACTTTTTTCCCATGAGCACGAGCATGGAACAAGTCAGTGAGCTAATTAATTAATCATCAGAAAATTAATTGTCTTTTCTTTTGTAAAATCAATTCATCATCAAATCATTCATCATCACCCTTGTGTTGTGTTCGAAAGCGGTTACCGTTCATGGTGTCCGCGGGTCAATTTCGACCCATGATTTATCTCAGTCCAAAACACTCCAAAATAATGACTATCATCCAATATTGTTTTAACTACATCATAACTAACTTATTATGCATTCACAACCGTACAATCCTGTTGTAATTTAATTTGATGGCTCCAAAAAACCGTACACCACATATTTAAAGGGGACCTATCATGCAAAATGCACTTTTGTACGTCTTTTATACATGACTATGTGTCCCCGGTGTTCCAGGGAACTCACCAACAGAGATGGGGTCGTTACTACAAAAAAGTAATATATTACACTACTTCGTTACTCTCTACATAAAGTAACTCGTTACTTTACTCGTTACTTTACTCGTTACTTTACTCGCAGGGCCGGCCCGCCCCTCCCTGCAGGCAGATCACGCAGACTGCTAAAGTTTCAAATGTTCTCTTTAGTTCAGTTTCCATTGTCGCATAAGACTGATCCAGATCCTGAATGTTTTCCTATCTGACCATGGCTGTCCTCTGTCTCCTGCTATCTGTATATTTTGCGCAGTCTATCTCTGCTCACGCTGTTGCGTCGGCGTGTTCTCCTGCGTGTTGGCCATGTGTTGCACTGGAACCAGACACCGCAAAGACTTCAGCCGAGCACGTACGAACTGCGCATGCGTGAGTGGCAATAACTCTCCTTACCAGCAGGCGGCGGTAGTGTGTATTCGTCATTCAAAACAGGCAACAACCGGAAAACAGAGAAGAAGAACAGACTACGTGATATAAACAAACAACAAATAGCTGTGCGTTAGCTTCACCTTAGCATGTGTTCTTTGCAGGTGTTTGTTGAGGTTTGATTATGACTGATTTTAGTAAGTAACGAAGTAACGCGTGTCGGGGCAATGTTAGTAACTAGTGTGATTACTGAATTATAAAAGTAGCGCGTTACACTACTCCGTTACCGACAAAAGTAATATTATTTGTAACGCGTTACACCCAACTCTGCTCACCAAGTGTCAGAAAACACAACCCTCTCTATTTTCCTCCATACCCAAATCTCTAAAAAAGGGGCTGCAACGGATCTGATAGACTGATCCAGATTGGAACACTGTCCTGACGTCAGGACGGTGGTGCTACGGCTATTGGTCAACTCTCCACCTATCAGGGGAATGAGAGGTTGGGCCACGGCCGGCCATTGCTGCTCGAAAGCGCTGGAGACGCTGTAGTACATATGCCAGGCCTGTAAGTGGCGCTGTAGTCTGCCACAAAAGCAGCGAAGAAGACTTCCCGCGCATGGTTGTCATGGTTGCCCTTCTGTTTATTCTCCGCTGTGGCTCTTTTTCTCCCTCCCCGAAGCAAGCGTTTGCGCCTCCTGCTTTAAAACAAATGAATAATGATTCTATATAATCATATGTAAGATTATTATATTACATGGCCACATTCTCAACAAAGTAACGACATGACTCCCAATATTAATTGAAATGCTTTTATGGATTTAGAAAATGATTTTATTGATTTAAAAAATAGTTGTATGTATTGATTTAAATTGACATGCATCCGCTAAGAAAAATAGTCCGTTGTTACCGTTTGAACTAACGTAGCAACGGCAGGAACTGCTTCGATAGCGTTTTTGAGGAGCTTTGTGATTACAGATTTGAAAACATCGTTGCTTGCTTTAAAAGTAGCACAATTCATTATGTCAAACTTTGGAAAGTATCTAGATATCCCTGCCCTAATGCCAAAGGAACTGCCAACTCCCCTCTCCTGCAGGGGGGCGTGGTCAGCTGCAGCTCACAAAATCAGCCCCCTGCAAAAACATGGCTGGAAAGAGCAAATAGAGCGAAATGAGGCATGGCTAAAATGCAGGATCTGTTTGGTATTTTTTTTAATTATATATATTTATATACTTTATATAGGTATGGCCCTACAATATATGTTTCAAATATAGCATGATAGGTCCACTTTAAGTAAAACATGTGATTCAATTCACTCATTATTAGGGATGCTCCGATCGCCAATTTCGGGGCCGATCGCCGGAATCAGTATCGGCCGATACCGATCGCCGATCCGATCGAGTGGGCGGGGCCTAAATGGAAGATTTATCTTCCATTTAAAGTGATGTTTAAACTCAGTTAATGGGCCTCATTCACTGGAGCTTCCACAAACAACAATCAACTTAATTATTACATTCAAATGATGTACATTATTCAAGTTTACATTCACTTTGGATAATAACACGGGAGAAATTAGCGGAAGCGCTCTCTTTTCCTCTCTCCCTTTCTCCCCCCTCTCTCTCTCTCTCCTGACAGCCTGTCAGTATCTCATGCAGCTCACTGATCTAGTACTGAGTGACCCGACAGTGAAGAATACATATATTTATAATAACTAGTTTAGCTAGTTCCAGAGGTAGATAAAATAGCTAAGTGTGTTAGGTCTAACTCTTGTGTGTTTCGTTCCGCTCACCGGTCCAGCGGGCGGAGCTGCAGGATTTCTGCTTCACACACGTTGCATACCGCTATTTTACTGTCTTTTTCGGACACCTTAAAATAATGCCAGACCGGTGAAGCCATTTTGGCGAGCTTGTTTTGCCGCACACAGAGAAAAGTGTCATGTATTTTACGTCATGCGATCGGCTCTCGCGATCGGCATGTTTAGAGAGCACCGATCGATCGGTAGAGAGTGAGTATCGGCCGATATCGATCGGTGACCGATCGATCGGAGCATCCCTACTCATTATATTCCCTATAGTGAAGACAGTGTCAAAAGTCAAAGTTGAATCTTGATTGGGCCAAATTTGACCCCGTCACCCAAAACAATTCTGCTGGGTCTTCCCAGACCCTGAACACCAAATTATACACTTTTTTTTAGAGACCTTCAGACTTGGCCAAAATATAAAAATAGTGTTTATATAGCTGTTGTGGAGGATATCATGAAGCCTTGTTCCGAGAATAAAAACTAGAGCGTATGTTATTATAACATTTTAACTTGTCACGGGAGACCCAAACACAACATAAGGGTTAAGTTCTTTATCATGCAAAAATGACAATTACATGCAATTTTTTAAGGTTAGACATTGGGCTGTTGCTATGTTTTTATTTATTTAAATTTTTTTAATGTGCTTGATTTTTCTCAGACATTATCATTTATTATTAAGTCCAGAAAACAGTGTTCGTAATTTAGAAGAAAAAAAAAGTGAATTGCAGTACTACTATTCATGCATTACACATTCCTGTCGAGCGTTTCGCGTAGCTCCACTAATCCACAAAAAAACAAAACCGCTTTCTAAACCTTTTATAAGCAAGGAACTCCGATACAAATGTGGATTCTGTGTGTTTATTGTTTTGTGTTTTGTTTTTCTTGTTTTGTTTGAAGAGCAAGGGGAATTCCTGGCTCTTGATCTCGGAGGATCGAACTTCCGGGTGCTCCTGGTCAAAGTTATGGCTAACGGCAAGCAAGAGGTGGAGATGGAAAATCAGATTTATGAGATTCCTGAACACATCATGAGAGGCTGCGGCTCTGAGGTAAGAAGCATTACACACATATATATATATATATATATATATATATATATATATATATATATATTAGTGTGGTCCTTAGTGCCATGTACATTTTCAAATTCATTTATTTTAAGCTCCAACCACCGGAATTCGTTATGATAGTCAAGAAAACTCTCCTGGTGAATTGTATTCAAATTCTAACAACATTTACCCCTCCCTCATTAACCTTGAAGTTTAGCCTGGACTGCCACACCAGCAGCTGCAACTGAGGCTAAACTTCAAGGTCGATGAGGGAGGGGTACATGTTGTCAGATTGAGGAAAACATTCACCAGGAGAGTTTTCTTGACTAATAGAATGAATTCTGGGGGTTGGAGCTTAGACATTCCGACTTTCAATTTGAAGGACCACCCTAATATATATTTGTTGTATTAGTCAATTTATTGAACATGTCAGAAACAAAACATACAACAATAATAATAATTCAATCAGGCAAAACGGTTTTGATGTAAGAATACATGTTTATTGCCAGGAATACACAAATGAATGTAATGGAGTTTTGGCGATTAGGCCCCGTTGTGCAGGAGTATCTTTCGGGAGGGGAGAACCGATCCGATGAAACCCCCCCCGGGTCTAGACACTGGTGGTGGTGAATGGATAGTTGGGTTCTGTCTGAAGGGGAGTGGCTTAGCTTGACCCTGGATTCAGAGGGACAGGAGGTGAAAAGGGGGGGAGGAGGGTTGTTGAGTCACCTGAAATGACAGCTTTAGCGGAGCCCTATGATAGGCTTGAGACAATAGAGTGAAGTGATTGGTTAAGCTGGGGAGTGACGCCCCCGATCACTTATTGAGAGGAGAGAGAGTAGTAACATAGCATAGTAAATGAATGAGTAAAGAAGGTCTTCCTGGTTGAACTTGCGCTGAGCTCCATTACTTTTTTAAAAATAATAATAATTATAACAAAGAGATGCAAAACAAACAAACGTTCAAGGTACAAAATAATAATAATTCTCAAATAGTCTCTGTCATGTTCAACAGGGGCAAGAAGAAGCTTAAACAAAAAACAAACAAAAATAAAAGATTAGCGTCATGTTGTAAACAAATACTTTCTTTTGTACAAAACAACCAAAAGGAAATAACTTTTACAATGTCAACAAATAACAAGCATGAGTTCACAGGTCCTGCTCATAACCATTAATGATTTGGTTTCTAAATAATAGTTTGTTTAAACTTGTACAATATTACAGTTATTCCACAGATCAACACCTTTTGTTGTGATGTAATGAAGTTTGGAATTTGTTCGTATGGATGTTTTTTTTAAATGCAGTTTCCTCTCAACATGTGCATGTGTGAAAAGTCTCTATATTGCTATATTGATTTGTCTTAGCAGTTCCCAATATGTTTTTTTTTATAACTGCTCCTGTCAAATGTGGACTTTGTTACACTTGTATCTTCCATCAAACTTCTGCTCTTTGCTCGTTAAAGCTTCCTGTTAAAAATACTCAACCCACATTCTAGCAACGCTTTTTCCATTTTGCCTGATGAAAGGATAAATGCAGTGCTCAGGGATAATAAGGGCTATTTCTCAGGTATGTCACCCCGCCACTGATTTATCTATCATCAGAGCTCGCTCTTTTGGAAGGCCCAAACCCTTAAGGCTTAGAGGAAGCAAATTACACCTAATGCGACATGAAAATAAAACATAAAAAACAAAAAGGTGTTATAACTAAGATAAGATGGACGTTTATTTATCTCCGTAGGGAAAATCACGTGTCATGGCAGGAATTACCACTTCCGGTTCCTTCGCCAAAAAGCAATGCAATTTCTCCATAGGATTTTGGAAAATAGCTGGAACTAAGGTCTGTGTTTGACACAAATTGAAGAGACAGATCAAGTTTTGTTCTACGACATTAAATACATCAGCAGTGACCCCACTGGTGATTTCTGAAGAGTTTACGTGTCTGAAAAACGATGGTTGTTACCAAGTGGCTGAATAGGACTACAGAAGTTGTCGAGGCCGTTGTACGTCATTACACCGAACACGTGAACACTCCTCTAAGTTTTTTTTAACCCGTGTTCTGCTTGAAAGCAAGTACCTGCCTCCTGCAAACTGTTAAAACAAACTGTGTGTGTGTGTGTGTGTGTGTGTGTGTGTGTGTGTGTGTGTGTGTGTGTGTGTGTGTGTGTGTGTGTGTGGGTGTGTGTGTGTGTTGTGTGTGTGTGTGTGTGTGTGTGTGTGTGTGTGTGTGTGTGTGTGTGTGTTGTGTGTGTGTGTGTGTGTGTGTTGTGTGTGTGTGTGTGTGTGTGTGTGTGTGTGTGTGTGTGTGTGTGTGTGTGTGTGTGTGTGTGTGTGTGTGTGTTCTCCTGCTGGCTGAGGTCTTTACGTTTGTCTTCTGAGTTTCTGACAGGTATGAAGTAGATGGGGGCAAGTTGTCTTATTTTCCCGGAGAAATCAGAAATGAAAACTGATTTGCTATTGATATCAAAAATAGGTAATATTATAAACCACGATCAGCTTCTTCGTTTTCCTTTTGAAAGCAAGCCTGCACTGATTGCAAGGAATGAGCTCACCCAGATAATGGGAAATAATAAAAGAAGGCAGATTTGCTTCCGGCTGAACAATGAAGTAAATCGACGACACTTTACATTATTAAATTTACGCCGTGCGATTCAAGTCAATTCAAAAGAACAGATTGAGGTGTTCAGCAGTGAAACGCTGGGGATTCTTTGCAAAGGAACTGATTTTTCTGAAATGGGCCTCAGCGGGGGGCCTCATTTAGAAAAGTCCTCTCTCTCTGTTTTGTACGTTAAGCTCAAATTTAGAAACTGCACATTCGAGCTGCAGCAAAGAGAGGAAACCTCTCAAATGACAGTCGTTACGGTTGTATCAACTCAAAAAGTTTGTTTGTTTTTGCATAATTAATTGACCCTGGGCAAGGGCAACCTCTTATGGCAAGGTACAGTATAGTAATTTCAATCAGGAAACACTTATTCCTCAGTGAAAATAATCTTTACATGTGCAGAGGGTGAGAAATATAATTAGACTCCATTGAGAAATCATATATCTGTAGGGGTAAGATGAAGATCTAAATAGAATATGAAAACACCTGCTTGGTATGGTGAGGAGAACAATACTGATTTGATGAGAAGTGGATTTCTGATGAGCTTCATTGCAGCACTGCATATAATGACTGAAGGTGAATATGGTATTTAACCTAAAGACTTGGACTTCGAGGAGAAATGTGAATGAGTAAACAAAAAGTTAAGCATACTTTTACGATAGAAACAGAAATTGATTATGCTTTATTATATTTGCTGATTTAGATGTTACACTGAGCTTCATGTACAAGATACTCTATAAAATAAGAGTAAAATTAACCATTCCTGATTTAATGCAATTGTTTTCCCGATCAGAACATTATATAATAGAATATTTCTTTATTGTCATCATACAAAGTACAACTACATTTCTTTGGCAACTCTCACTGCAGTCAAAAATAGACACAATAAATAAATAAGAGTGGTAAAAGCAGAGGTAGTAGCGATGACAGTGCAACAAGATTACATTCAATGTCAATGTGCATATTTACACTTACAGTCTAAATATATATTGGTAAAATAGCCATAAATATTTCTAAATAGTGTGTGTGTGTATATAATAAGTAAACAAGTAAACTTGCCTTCTTGCTCTCCCCTCTAGCTGTTCGACCACATCGCTGATTGTCTAGCTAACTTCCTGGAGAAGTTGGGCATAAAGGATAAGAAGCTGCCTCTGGGCTTCACCTTCTCGTTTCCCTGTCAGCAGACCAAGTTGGATGAGGTGAGTGATTTAGGCTTTCTTCATTTACTTGAATTGAAACTATATTTGATCTCTAAGTAAATGACTTGACCAAGGGTTGTTACTAGGGATGTCCCGATCACCTTTTTTTGATCCCGATCCGATTCCGATAATTTGATTTTGACAATCTGCCGATACCGATTTTTCCCGATCCGATCTTTATGCAATGCATTAAGAGAAAAAAAAGGTAACAGATAACGGCTGGTCATCCAACGCGATGAATTCAGCTATCTTGGCTGTTATTCTTTTGGCCTTTTCACTGTTCTGGGGCATTTCTCTTTCCTTTTAAAAGTCTCTGAAAGTGTCGGTTGTTTCAGTGCCGGTGTCAGTACCAGATGTGTTCGGGGTACCAGATGTGTTCGGGTGTATTTCCGTCGCATCCGTCATCCGTCATATTTTACGGCAACTCAAGAGGGCCATCACGGTCAAATTCCGAACATTTAAACATAGCCGACACTTCATTCTTTACTTTGTCCGTTATTATATGTAGAAGATTATACTTTTTCTCCGTCATGTTGTTTCCATAGCAACAACTTCAAACAGGCATAGCCTACACTTCATTCTTTACTTTGTCCGTTATTATATGTAGAAGATTATACTTTTTCTCCGTCATGTTGTTTCCATAGCAACAACTTCAAACAGGCATAGCCTACACTTCATTCTTTACTTTGTCCGTTATTATATGTAGAAGATATTAATTTTTTCTCCGTCATGTTGTTTCCATAGCAACAACTTCAAACAATAACAACTAACCGCTAGCCGCAAAGCTAGCATCACAGCCACTGCTCCGTTTTCGGATACTTTGCACACGTTTTTCACAAACATTTTCACAGGCTAGGAGTACTTGAGTACTGCGTGTAGCAGTATAATTAAACATTACAGGTTGTGAGTGACATTAGTTATCATATTTATATATGTTTAGTAGGTTGTGGAAGTGTGCTCCAAAATATTTGTTGATCTTCTTGATTTATTATTTTGATATTGTTTATTTAAAGATATTAATGTATTTATTTTTTTATTGGTTTTTCAGTTGAATTATACTTAAAGTTCACGGTAATCAACTGTTAAAAACATACTGTTCAAATTATTTTTATTTTAAAGTTCAATAAATTGATGTTTTCAAAGTCAATGGATAGTCGTTTTGAATAATCGTGATATAAATTTGGACCAAAAATAGTCGTGATTATGATTTTTGCCATAATCAAGCAGCCCTAACTACTCACATCTACGATGACACTTTACGGCATAGCTGAAATAAAATGTGTTCTGCTCTTTAGTGCTGATTTCCTTCTTTACAGAGTGTTCTGGTTTATTGGACCAAAAGCTTCAGAGCATACGGAGTAGAGGGAAAGGATGTGGTCAGCCTTCTGAAGAAATCCATCCAAAAACGAGGCGTAAGTGCACAAAATCATACATTACGTTGTTCTTAGTAATCCTGCATTTTTTCTGTGTGTCTCTTGGTGTTGATGTCCCATGCTAATTATAATATGGATACAAAATGTACATGACAAAGGATTTGTATTTAGACCTCAAGTTATATTTATATAATTATTAGGGATGTCAGAACTGTCAGGGTTGGGGTAAAAGGTTCAAACCAAAAGTGAGCTTTACTCAAAGAGAAACTAACAAACACTAACCATGGGACACAAGGAAAAGGAACATCATCACGAACAGCCAGGTAACATCGACAACAATCGCACAAGAAGCTCAAGGGAAGACTTAACACAAATACACTAAATACACACAAGGCATCACAAGACAAGACACAGCTGGGAGGGGATGTGAAACCCAATCAGACAATCAGGCAGTAAAACTAGGCAAGACAGGAAGTAACAGACATAACATGGGGGTGACACTTTTAAAAATAAAAGTGGAAAATAATAATAATACATTTTATTTTAGGCGCCTTTCATGACACCCAAGGACACCGTACAATTTGTTAAAAAAAGAAAATGCTAATAGGCAACAGAACATGATAAAAACACAAACAGGAAATCATGGAGGAGACAGTCAAGTGGACACAAATGAAACATATAATGGGGAGCACTACAGTGAGTAGCCAGATTTGAACAGATGGGTTTTTAATTGGGATTTGAATATGGTGATTGTGTCTGACTGTCGGATGTGCGGGGGGGGGGGGGGGGGAGTTCCAGAGTCTGGGTTATAGCATAACCATGACAAGAAATGCCAATCATTTTGCATTTGGTCAGCGATGCTCAATATCGCAATTAAATCATTCTCAGCATTCACTGCTAAATTAAGTTTGCATACCGGATTTTGTTTATAAAATTAAAAAGGTCGTTATTCTTTCTTTCTAATCTATTTTTGCTGTGAAAACTGTTTTCGTGTCAGTTGGACTGTTTTTAATCCCCCTTCTACAAGAAGCATCTTCAGGGTCTCTTGCTATGACCCTGGACCTGTCTGACCCAGGGTTCACAGAAAATGCAATGCTCTTTTAAGATGTGGTCCACTTATGGTAAGATTAGCAAATGTCATCTCCACACGACAGCCTGAGATGTGAAGAGCCCTGAGAGAATTAATTATTCATAGTTCACATCTATTGATTCTCTGTGGCTTTCCAACTATGACCCGACTAACTGCTGTCATTTCTGATAAGTGGACTCTTATCGGCATGTTCAGATGTGCCGGCCACCTCTGCACGCAACTGTAATCTGAACTGTGAATGCTATTCAGAGATGTTACTGATCCTAAACAGCACCCACAATGACGAGTGTGGCAGATATGGCAAAGAACACGTGCAAATGTTCCTTAAACAAGTCCTTAAGAAAAGTAAATGATCTCGTCTGCCCACTTAAAGAGATTTTACTAGTAAAAAGGATAGTTTAATTGTAAGATGCTAATAAAACACTTTTGTTGTCCAAATCTATGACATGTTTATCTGCCTGGATAAATACAAACTTATAAATAATGGGCAAATATTGGGCCACAGTCCAGCAAAGGATATCAGTGAAGCAACATATCCAATCCTATTATCCCCACATACAAACACTTCCCAAAGTATGCCATATTTAATGTACAATTTAAGAAATGTCACAAAAGAGGAAGTGATGTTTTACTGAATCTAACTACAGCTGTTATGATATTCATGTTTTCTTGTCACACACTATCTCTCCGGCCTGCTGCTCACATACATGCATCCTTACATTTCTATTTATAGTGCAACCAATGAAATGGTAAATGGACTGTACTTATATAGCGCTTTATCCAGTCTTTAAGACCCCTCAAAGCGCTTTACATACTACATGTCATTCACCCATTCACATCCATTCATACAGAGCAGTGTACCTTACTCTAGGACCTAACATTCACACACCGTTGGCCATCGGGAGCAACTCAGGGTTAAGTGTCTTGCCCAAGGATACATCGACATGTTGACTGCATGGGCTGGGATCGAACCCACAACCTTCTGGTTGAAAAACGACCGCACTTCCACAGTCGCCTATTTTAATGAAATAATAGTTTGTTGATGCTCACTTGCTTGGCTTGTGTGATTATGTTAACAGCTTGATCAGATGCTACGTTGCTCCAGTGTTTTTATGATCTCCAGTGACTGTTTCCATTCACTTTTCAACAAGCTTTTATACGTGTAACAGGGTTTCCGCTAGGATTTTTTCTCGCCGGTCAAATGTCCGGGCAGAATTTATTTTACCGGACAAATTTGAAACTTACCAGTCATATTTCAATAATAATAATAAGAGTTGTGTAGCAGAGTTTCCGTTAGCAGGTAATTACCGGACTATGAGCAGATATGCTGATGTTTAAAACTCAGTTCACGGGCTCATTTGTATATTGCTTCAGTTTATAATCGTAACAGATCGAAAAATTCAGATTCATTTCTCAATAAATGATTCCACAAACAACAAACAACATAATTATTACATTCAAACAAACTACTTGTAGTAGATGAAGTACATTATTCAAAAGTTTACATTAACTTTGAATAATAACACGGGAGAAACGGAGCCTCTCTTTTCCCCTCTCCCTCCCTCTCTCTCCTGACAGCCCGTATGTTTCTCATGCAGCTCGCTAAACAGTGGGCGGGGCTTCAGGTGATCATGCAGAGCTACTGTCTCCATCAGACTCAGCAGCTGATCTGATCTCTCTCTCGGGTCCGGTTATACTTCACTCGCGTTTATGTCCATATCGATCAGATCCAGCTCTCCTGATCGGCCTTTATAGAGAGCACCGATCAAACTATTAAGAGTGAATATCGGCCGATAATAACCGGCGGCCGATCTATCGGAGCATCCCTAATTATTACCAGACATTTTGACCGGCAGGTTTTGAATTTACCGGTTTTTAATAAATGTTACCAGCTAAAAACCGGTAATTACCGGCTAACGGAAACCCTGACGTGTAAGTGTTTGTATTTGTTATGTTCCTCATTATAACATCACAATTCACATGTAAGTCTGTTTTTGTTTGTTTTGTTGTATGTAAAGCATGTATGCCCGCATGTTGCCCTGATCTTCCTCGCCTCGAATCCTGCATTTGATAGATTCTGGCTCTTCATGATTGCATGTTATTTGTTGAAATGTGTTAATCTTTGCTGTGCATACTTTGTTGCAATGTAAGATAACATCCAGCTGTTCTATGATCATAAGAACTGTTGAATAACTTCTTGCCCCTTGTCAAAGCGAAAACTAATAAAGTCCAATTAAATCTTACTGCAGGACTTTGACGTTGACATTCTGGCTGTGATCAATGACACAGTGGGCACCATGATGACCTGCGGCTACGACGACCATCACTGTGAAATTGGCCTCATTGTGGGTGAGTTAAGTCCAAAGCAAGTAACAAGGCTCAGCGATGACATATTTTTGTAGGCTGACATGACAGACTGGGCTCCTTGAGACAAAGCCAATGGTATTTTCCAGAGGTGGGAGTAAGTCCTACATGTGCAAGTCATGAGCAAGTCTCAAGTCTTGACCTACAAGTATCAAGCAAGTCCCAAGTCACTGGTGAGAGTCAAGCAAGTCAAGTCAAGTCATTGCTCAGGTCAAGCAAGTCAAGACAATACGAAATTCTGATGAATAAGCCCAGTTTCCGCATTTAAATCAGTTAAAAGACAGTGGTTATGAAAATGGATTTAACCCACATGATCTTCTTTACATACACAGTTAATCATTTGAAATCTAATTTAGACCGATGACAATCATATTAGATTCATATTAACCCCAGAACTGCAGACAATATAGCAAGGACTCAATCAAAGAAAATCATATATGGCATTTGCCATTACACATATTTAATTTAAATGTCTGTTAACACTAGAACCGCCAACAGCATCAGCACCTAGTACATAGATATCATTTTCAAATCATTTAATTTGTTCCTCTTCATAATTTCCTTATAAACTAAGTAGGACGATTTAAAACTCAGTTAATTGGGTTAATTTAGAAATTGCTTCAGTTTATCATCATAACAGATCAAAAAGTTAAATCAAGGAATGATGCACTTCTACAAACAAAAACAACATAATTAAAACATTTAAACAAACTACTAAAAGTAGATGAACTACATTATTCAAAAGTGTACAGTAACTTCTGATAATAACACAGGGGAACTAAACGAGGCATCTCTTTTCCCCTCTCTCTCTCTCTCCCTCTCCTGACAGCCCGTCAGTATCAGGGTTAGTCAAAATGAATCCCTTGGTGGTTCTAGTGTTAATATACCGTTTTGTCTTCTCTTTGCTTAATCGATTTGAAACCAAGTCTAACGTAGCTTAAACTTAACGTTAGCTTTCTAGCTAACACATGCACGCACCTTTCTCTGTGGGGTTTTTTGTAGTGACGAATGAAGTTGGATGTTGTGGTGGTCGTGTCACTGATCTTTATGCTGCAGACCCTGCATACCGCTGTTCTCTTCTTATTACCGTCATCGACAAAATAATCTTTGAATCCAAACTTCACTATGTTTGGAGTAAAGCTAGCCGCTGCCATGTTAACTGAGACTCCTGCCTTCTAGTGGGTTGCCAGGTTTGCGCGCATGGCGCTATAATCACGTTTTTCGAAAAAACTAAACGTAATATCTCACTACAAAAACAAACGCAAATATTTAATTTTAAACAGTCAAGTCCTTTCAAGTCATCTATCTCAAGCTTAAGTCAAGTCTCAAGTCATGAATACCAAGTCAAAGTCAAGTCAAGTATTTTATCAATGTTAGTCAAGCAAGTCTCAAGTCAAAAAATATGCGACTCGAGTCGAGTCATGTGACTCGAGTCCCCACCTCTGGTATTTTCCCATTGCGTTTTGCTTAAAATGAGCTCTGTGGCAAACAAACGTTTATGATATTTACATCTATTCAGTAGGATAATCTGCACACATGTTTGAAGTGTAAATGCAGTCGCCAGGAGTTAAAAACGTACAACGCTAGCTAAGCTAAAAGGGGGTTGATTTTCTAATTTCTGCACTTCTAAGCAACGGCCTTTTTGAAGACAGATAACATTCAGAAATTCAAGAATATCAGTAAATATATTATTTACTGAATTGTTTTATGCCTTAGAAGAAAACGTGAAAATCTCTAGCTTGCATTAACCCAGTGGTTCTCAAACTTTTTCTGGCATTCCCCACTTTGAACAGGTGGGCCTTTTCAAGCCCCACCTGTTCCTCGCCACTCCAATAAAATGGTAGGCCAAGCTTAAAATTGTCAAATATATCGTTCTATAACAGGGGTCTCCAACCTTTTATAGGGTGAGGGCTACTTTTAAAAAATAAAACAAGTCGTGAGCTACTTTTACTCCTCTTTTTCAGTTTTTTTGCAGTGTATATATTTAGCACATTTTAACATTATTATATGCTTACCTTTAACCTTTGTGTGCTGTTTGGGTCTGTGGGACCAGTTTTCAGTGAAAAGAAAATGTATGATTTTTTTTAAATGTTGAAGTTAAAAGCATCAATCTGGTGCACTTTAAGCACAAAATGAATTTATGGATACAGCTCTCAACACTCTATGAAAGGGAGCTGTATACTTTTCAATAATCCAAACATCTTTAGAATATGATCACAACCAATAACAAATCATTTAAACTTGTGTATTCTTATCTTATGTTACCTATATAGCATTATTTCTTTTTATTTATGCGTTTTACTAATCACTCCCCTTTTAAACTGTTTACTGTCCTATTGTACACATTGGAATGATTTCCTCACTTTATTTTGTACAACTAGGCTATATTAAATAGATAAAGGTGTGTTCTCTCTCTCTCTTTCACATGTGTGTATGAGAGATTTTTACATATGTCTGCAAATGACTTTGGTTTCAGTTGTGTGTGTGTGAGCAGGCTCGGATTGGCCATCGGGAGAATTCGGGACTTTTCCCGTTGGGCTGCTGCCGTTGGTGGGCCGCTGGCTCTGGCATAGGTGGGCCGTGGACTTTCACAGCGCCGGTACCGCATCCGCCCCAAAAAACACCCGCCGTTGCGAGGCTCTGGCGGCTCCGGCAGGTCCGGTGCAGCGGTGCTGTGAAAGTCCACCGCTGTTGCGAGTCTCCGGCTGTAATAATCCACTACCGCCCGTCAGGACCCAGGTTCGATTCCGGCCTGAGGTCCAAAACATATATTTAAAAAAAAAAAATAATAATAATCTCCCGTTCATCGCGTCCATTCGCGACCCACCTATCACATCTCTGCGCCCCACACTTTGAGAAACGCTGCATTAACCATAGACCTTATTACGTGATCCTAACCTTAAACCCAATTACTTTGAGAAGAGGGAAAAGGACTCAAAACTGCAGCACTCTATAATACAACTCATTAAATATTTATATTTATAATATTTTCCCATAGGTGTTAGATTGTGTTCAGATGTAGTGTCAGGAAGGCACTCGATTTACATAATGTTCCTACTCATTAAACTGTTTACCGCACCCCGTATGGATCATGCATTCTCACAGCTTGTTTCTGCATTCTATTTCCCTTTTTAATGTGTTTCTTGTCCACATACTGTACGTGCTGCATCGACAATTAATTGTTTAAGTAACTCTAAGGGTTTTTTAATTGGAAAACAAGCACAATGAGGGTTAGAAGGTGTAGATGCTCAGTCTGTGTCTCGGAGAAGATCCACTGTGTTAATGTGATAACATGTTGCCGATAGATTATCACAGTTATTTATTTTTATATTTCAAACTTAGTGCTTGTATCAAATAGGAATTCACGTCATTTAACAGTAACATGCATACTGTAGAAATGCTTAGACCAAATGGAGCGGCACTATTCATGAAAAGGCAAATAAGAATACGTTTTTCTCCCAACTTGGATCAGCTAATTATCGCTGCACAGCAGGGCCTATCACTGCTGAGAAAGTGATTTTTCTTCCTAAGCGTGTGGAGTTATCAATTATTCTTTCAAAGTAAGATCACATCCCCTGCTGCACAGGTGTCTCATTATCCAGAGACAGTTCAGCACATGCACCACAGGGCTTCAGTTAACTTTGAAGGACTTTATATTGGTCTGGCAGCAGTTAAAATGCAACATCACATCCCATAGCAGGTATCTATTTACTCACACAGGGATCAAAATGAGCTGCAAGAATTCCTTTAGCTAAAAGACACCACTGGACCTTTTGAATCACTGTCTGTTAATTTGACAGGGACTTGCAACCTAGATGCCTTTTTATTACTGGAAATGCTAACACAAACCAATAAAACTATACATACTTTGTAGCTCTCTTCACGACACAGACACAGGTCGGTTCTTTGAAACGGGCGTTTATTTCTTGGAGTTTTAATCTTGTAGCTTCCCCCCTTCCGTTACGCCGTGAGAACTCGTTGGCCGCTTGTCCAGGGGCGGATCTACCGGGGTGGCATGGGGTGGCAACTGCCACCCTAAACAATAGCCTTGCCACCCCAGCTGGCATCTTTGTTTTGAAAGAAAAGTTGTGGCTCATCGGACATTTATGAGAGAAAGTCTCTAATGTCCGAGTGCAAGTGAATGCAGCACAAGATGCACGTCATGTAACCCCTCCCCCGGTCCTGGCGCGAGAGTGGAAATATGATTGGTGGCGAATTCACTTGAACGGGGGGACGGCGCAAAACGAGAAGCATTCGGACCCAAGCACTGAAGGAATGAGGTAGTTGCGGTCTGACAGAGAAGAGACTGTCAGTTTGGCTGTACTCAGCATTGAATCAAAACGCACTACAGCTGTTGATCTTAATAAGTTTGTGAGGCGTTTTGCTGAACAAAATAGTAATCGCCGCATTCAGCTGTAATAGGCATGACAACTTGATGCTCTGCTCACGGATGACTCGATGAGAATAACAAGATGTTAAGATGATGACCTTGTATGCGTGTATATATTTTTTTCTTTGAGGGGGTCTGCCCCCAAAAAACAGTTTTAAGCCCTGAGAAAGTAAAATAAGACGGTGTGTAAAACTACACTGCCCAGCCAACAGAAAGTAACCACTTTGATTGAACTAGGCCAGTAGGTAAGGACCTTCCACTGGATAATAACTGCAGCGATGTTTTAGCTGAATACACGTTTTCTAACCCTAACTGATGCAGTTAGTCACTTCTTTAATGTTTGTTCTTTCTGATGTAAAGTCAAGGTTGTAACTGTATATCAATAATGATATAATTACTTGTTTTCAAATTTGAAGGAGGGTGAGCAAGCATCTTGATGAACATTCATCATTAACTCCTCCAAAAAATATAGTTTATTCAATAATAAATGAATATGTGAATCATAACAGTTCTTCACTATATCTGTAAAGCGTCTTTGAGCACCTGTAAAAACGCTAACAAATTAAATCTATTATTATTATTTATTAACAGTGATTGACAGCTGATAGGAATAATATGATTGTTAATAGTATCATATTCATTCAGACAAACATCGATGAGACAGTTAATTAATGTACTTATTGCAGCAGTCTGCATAGATTTGGTACCCCTGCTGGTCTAAGAGTGAAACAAACTCATTCAGTTATTGTTCAGTTAAAATTCATTAAATTACGTCTGCCACCTTGTAAGGCTTTACTGATGTGCCACAATAATATCACCTATGTGATTGAGTTAAAATATTAATATTGTGGCTTTCCAAGTTAACATTGATTGTAGGGGTGTAATGGTTCACAAACATTTCGGTTCGGTACGTACCTCGGTTTTTAGGTCACGGTTCGGTTCGTTACGTTTTCGGTACAGCAGAAAAAATTATCGCAAAACACTAAATATTTTTTTTTAAATTTATATTAAACTGTGACTAATGTATTCAAATAAATACAAAATATAGTAAAATAAACATTAAGGTGCAGCATTTCGATGAACTGAAATAATCTGTATTTGAACTGACTAGTATAAGCAGCCAGCTTGACATTAGGACTTGCTTGTCATTGTATTTTCATGTGTTGTTTAAAGAAAGATGAACTTGTCCACATTGCTTGCTGAAATGGCAGATCTGCTGGCCCAACATGTCTCCTGCTGTGGAGAACACCCTCGCCAAGGACAGAGGTAGCAGATACAGCCAGGTAGCGCTTGCTAACATGGCAACATAAGGATATTTGGCGTTTGTAATAGCTTTGGCTCGGTCTGAACTTTCTGCGAGTGGTGGAGGCTTAAATGCTAGTGGGAGTTGGGTTTGCACTTCAGTCTTTTTTCTTTTGGTACCGGTGATATTCACATTCGGGTGATGCCTTTTCAAATGAGTGTGATGTATTGCCAGCCGCGTAACCAATGTTAGTTGAACAATGCCGACAAACAGCTTTGGTTCAGTCCACCTGTCATTGTCCGTCATTCTTGTACGTAACTGCGAAACCAAAATGTTGCCAAAACCGGAGACTTCAATGATGCTGGAGGATTTTCAGCTCAACTTTATCTGCGTTCGCCATTTCGACAGTTCCTCAAATTACTGACTACATTTGAACGCATCCCTGTGACCAGCTCTCATAGTATGCCTCTCGTCCAATGAAATGACTTGGTCGCTCTATGATATATACCTGAGATTACTTCCAGAAAGTTGTCATGTTCTCAATTTTTTACGTTTAACGCTATATTCGTTCGGTACCGAACCGAAGGGCCCGTACCGAATAATTTCAGTACGGGTACCGTTACACCCCTAATTGATTGATATGATTACGATTTAAATCAGCATATACTTCTGTCAGGGGATGCCACCCCTCAAAATCTCCTGCCACCCTCTTGCCACCCCATGAATATTTGTCTAGATCCGCCCCTGCGCTTGTCGTGAAAGGAGATTAATCCTTAAAGTTCCTTTTCTGAATAACTTTGTCACAATGATAACTTGTGTTACAACCCGGCTCTTGGGCTGTAACAAAAAGCTGGGAGGCGAGACGAGGGGTATGGAAAAATAACGATCCTTTATTAGTGAACACAAAAGTAGACAGCCGCGGCGCGAGGCTCATACGGGGAGTGTGCGAGAGGAATGTGAGCGAGAAACACATATCCGGCTGGACTCTGTTCTTGTAGGCTTTTCGACCCAGGTGCTGCCAAGCCCCCAGGAAGTGACCCCGGACTCTGTGCCCAACATTCGTTTTGTCCAAACGGCGGTACTGCAACTCCTGTATCAGTCCGTGACGTCACCCGGCCCAAAACAACTTTTTCCCCATTGACTAACATGGGGAAAGAGACGTCTGTAAATCGGTGGATAATCTTTTTTAACTGAATAAACTACCAGTATGAACTATTTATAGCCCTTATTAGAATCATAAGGTCCTTAAAGTTGTAAAATGCACTAAAAGCCGAATCTAGATTTATTTTCTCTCTCCATTCATTCTACTGAGCCGAGAGTGGGAGCTCGGGGGCGGGGCTTAAGGGGCGCATGCTCTGTGAGCGCACATACGGGTTATTCTGCTCTGGCAGCCAGGCATGATGGGTAATCTGACGTTTCGCTCTCTCAAAAGTTGGGCCATTTTGACTTCATGCGCCAATGAGCAGCTCTCATAGGAAAGAACGAGACCCCGCCTCCCACGCTGTATCCAGTTCTTATTATACATCCATGGATGCAGCTCATCAGGTAAATGCCGGCCCCACAGCACCGGATCCAGTAAACAAAGAGAGAGAGAGACCACGGAGCGCCTAGTGGTGTGGAGGGGTCGTCACACTTGTCACAGACTGCAGCAGAGCTTCAATAAAGACGTCAACCCACGTTGAGTTGTCCAGTGTATCAACAAAACATGCAGTACCAGTGCATGAATAAACATTTGTTCCTAGGCACAACAAACAACAAACACTTACGCATATTGGTGTAACATATAAAACAAAACTGTATTAAATCATGCCATATTTAACGATTATAATATTACATGAAATAAAGTATTTATTTATTGAATTTCACTATGAAATTAATTGTGTTATTCTTTTTAATTAAGGCAACTTTGTTACGTAATTTACATACTTATTACATAGCAGTAAGGTAGGCACAGGTTAAGTATCAAAAAGTATCAATCAATTTGGTAGATCAGTGGCGATACCCAGCCCTTATTGTTAGTGGCCATAAAGGGAAAGGGTGATAATGGTTTTAGTTCGATTCAAACATGAATGAATTGCAGTCAAATGTTTTGTCATTCCTGGTCTAACTTTTGGTTGGAAACGACTCTGTAATTCTAATGCTAAAACATTCCTTTCCTCCAGGAACTGGCACCAACGCCTGCTACATGGAGCAGATGAGGAACCTGGAGCTGCTGGATGGGGACGAGGGCCGGATGTGTGTGAACACAGAGTGGGGCGCTTTCGGAGACGATGGCGCTCTGGAGGACCTGCGCACACACGTGGATCGGGAGATAGATGCAGGATCTCTGAACCCTGGCAAGCAGCTGTGAGTCTCTCTGAGCGTATCTGATTTACTACTACATGAAACATCACTCAATAGTGAATGTCCTCAAATCAATGGTTCTTTAATTTTATATATTTAGTATTATAGTATTATTATGACATGGTGTGCTCATTTTCAGATTCATATTTGTATTTAGTGTCTCTACTGTGACATGTCTCCATGCTTTAATGTTCAAAAAGCTCTTTATTTTTCTCATACTGCCTTTGTTTCAGCACTTCTTTTCACCCTCTGTCTAAAACCAGAGCCCAGTCTGCTCTGATTAGTTAGCTGGTCTGTTATAATTGGTCAATCGCTTACAGATGTCCCGCTCCTTAGCTTATCACGTACAATGTGTTAAGAGTGTTAGCCAATAGAAACCCAAGTGTTACATATTGATATCATTATGTTAAGGAAGAAAACAAAGGAGTCCAATGGAGGCGTTTGTGGGACAGAAACTCCCTCTGGAAGGAACACAGGGATTTTATTCTTTGCAGACCATTCACATGCACACAAACATATATAACACACTACAGAAAAAAGAAATCAAAAAGCATAAGAGGGCCCCTTTAAGTGTAGTAGTGTAGTGCCCACTGTCACAGGGTTGCACTACACCAGGGGTGGCCAACCAGTCAGAGGTTAAGAGCCACATTTTGTCTATGTTACTGCAAAGAGCCACATCAAACACACAGTCACTGATACCGCTTGTTTCAGTTTTTTGTTTTCTGGAGACAAGATTTCAACCACGACACTGATGCATTTTTGTGGCATTGGGATATATATTTTTTAAATCCTCTGGAGCAGAGAGAGGAGCTTATTGTTATTGAATAATGCATCAGTGTTTCTTAGGGTCAAAAACACTAAACTCACAACTTAAAATGAAAGTGTTTAGTTTATTTAATTAAAGAGCACATGTTCAATGTGAAACGTGACAGTAGATATAGATTATTTGCAATTTGGTGCTATATATATATATATATATATATATAAAAAAAAAAAATTATATATATTTTTTAAACACCTTGAATTCCAGGGGGGGGCGCGGGGCTCCGTTGGCGGGGCGCAGCGCCCCTCCAAGACAATGGTAGGGGAAACACTGGATAGTGTTTAATCAACGATAGGTTTCCCCCCCTCATAGGTGATTGGTTCACTGCATCGCAGGTATTATTGTGATTGGCTCTTGGGCCACATCAAAATTAGACGCGCTGTCATCCTCTCATACTGACACCACACATGTATAGGGAGAGCCGGGACGAAAGTAACACGGGACGAAAGTAACACGGGACGAAAGTAACACGGGACAAAAGTAACGGAGCGATTTTATCCGAGCCCAAACAACTTTGACCGGCCAAATTACGTCAGAATTATCAGCATTCAGTACTTAACAGACTTACTAACTATCAGGTTTAACTGTCAGGAGTAGGTAGTGTTGTCACGATACCAACATTTTGGTTTCGATACCAAGTCAAGAATTGCGATTCCGATTATTTTTCGATACTTTTCTTAAAAAAAGGGAAACAGTCTTAATGTAATTATTGTGCTTTATTTCACACCAGAACCATAACACAACTTTTAAACAATGAGAACAATAAATAAAATAAATGACAAGAATTAATACATGTCTGACAGACAGGACTCGTGGTGTCCGTAGGCTTGCCCTACGTCAACCACCTCCCCCCCCTGACAGCATGTCCTCTACCCCCGCACCATCTAGCCCGTCTCCATCACCGTGCCTACGTCGACCACCTCCCCTCCCTTCGAGGGGCTTCTGCAGTCTCCGAAGCCTGATAAGGATGTGTGTGTACAAAACACAACAAACTCTTACTGATATGTGATGGGTCCAGGCTCAAGGGCGTATGGCACTCTCAACTCTTTCCAGGACATGTCGGGCCCTGCCTGCCAGTAGCTTTGCCGATATCTGTGTTGATAGGTAATAGATTAAGAGCGGTGAATCATAGAAACAGGAAGCGCTCAAACGTTTGTGTGAGTGTATCTAATTTAGCAGTGATTCCATGTCAGCCACAGCTTGTTACAAAAAACATGACTGATAGTGTGTTTAACAAACTTAAACTAGCTTTATTAAATGTCAGGTCTTTGGCAGGAAAAACATTTTTAATCAATGATTTAATCACTGAGCACAATCTCGATTTTTTTGTTTACAGAAACTTGGATTGAACAAAATAAACAGTGCAGCTGTTCTTATCGAATCAACCCCTCCCAACTTTAGTTTTATGAGTCAGGAAAGAATGCATAAGAAAGGGGTGGAGTTGCTATTCTGTTCAATGATTCCCTTCAATGCAGGAAGACATCGTATGGAAACTTTGATTCTTTTGAATATGTGGCCCTTCGGCTGAAATGCTCCTCTCGAGCTCTGTTCCTAAATATCTATAGACCACCCCAAATACTGTGCAAGCTTTTTTGATGACTTTACTGAACTGCTGTCTATAGTGTGTATTGACTTTGACCGTCTAGTCATTGTGGTGATTTTAACATCCATGTTGACAACCCCCAGGACAGAGGGGCTAAAGAACTGTTTTGTGTTCTTGATAGCTATGGACTGACTCAGCATGTGACGGAGCCCACGCACAATAAGGGGCACACTCTGGACTTAATTATCTCAAAGGGTCTGAATATCTCTAAGGTTGTGGTGACTGATGTTGCACTCTCTGACCATTCCTGTGTTTTCTTTGAGAGCTCTATTTCTGTTCACAAAAATGTTCAAAAAGAGGTAACCACAAAGCGATATTTAACTGAAAATACTAGGGAAATGTTTTACTCAGAATTTCTCTTCCACACTTGCCCCTGCCAACATCTCAGTAAATGAGCTAGTAGATCATTTTAATTCAAAAATTAAAATGTTATAGATGCCATTGCTTCCAACTAAGGTAAAGGAAGTGTCTGGCAAGAAAATATCTCCATGGAGAAAGGCCATGACCGTGAAAACAGAAAAAAGAGAATGTCGAAAAGCTGAACGCAGGTGGCGAAAAACAATCTCCAGGTTCACTTTGAAATCTATAAAAGAGACTTGGCCTTTAAATTTGGAATTGAAAAACGCACGACAATCGTTCTTCTCTGACATCATTACCAAAACAAAAACAACGCACGTGCCTTGTTTGCTACCGTCGACAGACTAACTAACCCCCCAGTGTCAGTAGCCTCTGAATTTCTATCCACCAGGGCGTGCAATGATTTTGCCTCCTTTTTCACTGACAAAATTCAGAAAATCAGACAAGTCAGTGCCTCTGCATCAGGAACAGCAAAGTGTTGTCCCTATCTCCACTTAACATCAATTCAGACATCATGACACAATTCCATCAGATTAATGATAAAAACCTAGAGGACATTATTCAACTTCTGAAATCCTCCTCTTGCTGCCTTGATATTATTCCAACAGGATTTTTCAAAGATGTTTTGCCTTGCATGGCCTCAGATCTACTTCATATGTAAACAAATCTCTTCACTCAGGTATTTTTCCACAGGCCCTGAAAACTGCAGTCATTAAACCGCTCTTAAAAAAGAATAATCTAGATGCTTCAGTAATGAACAATTACAGGCCCATATCAAACCTCCCATTTCTAGGTAAAATCATTGAAAAAGTTGTTTTTCAATCAACAGTTGAGTAATTTCTTGCATTTAAATAACTGTTTCGATGTGTTCCAGTCAGGCTTTCGTCCAAACCACAGCACTGAGACTGCTCTTGTAAAGGTCTTTAATGACATCCACTTAAACACAGACAGTGGCAGAACTTCAGTGTTAGTATTATTAGATCTCAGTGCTGCGTTTGACACTGTTGACCACAGCATATTACTAGACCGACTGGAAAACTGGGTGGGACTTTCGGAAACAGTTCTGAATTGGTTTGAATCCTACTTAAAGGACAGAAACACTTTGTTTCTATAGGTAAATACACATCTGAGTTGACAAATATACATGTGGGGTTCCTCAGGCTCCATCTTGGGGCCTCTTCTCTTTAACTCTACATGCTACCACTGGCTCAGATAATGAAGAACAACAAATAAGTTTACCATAGCTATGCAGATGACACACAAATTTACGTACGTAACAATTTCACCAGGAGACTATGCTCCAATTCAAACACTGAGTAAGTGCATTGAACAAATCAATGACTGGATGTGTCAGAACTTTCTCCAATTAAACAAAGATAAAACTGAGGTAATGGTTTTTGGAGCCAAGGCAGAACGTATAAAGTTAGCGCTGAGCTTCAGTCTGCAATGTTCAAACAACAGATAAAGCCAGAAATCTAGGTGTAGTCATGGACTCTGACCTGAGTTTCAACAGTCACATTAAAACAGTTACTAAATCAGCCTACTATCACCTAAAGAATATATCTAGGATTAAAAGACTAATGTCACAGCAGGATTTGGAAAAACTTGTCCATGCTTTTATCTTCATAGACTCGACTACTGCAATGGTGTCTTCACAGGTCTCACTAAAAAATCTATTAGGAAGCTGCAGCTAATTCAGAACGCTGCTGCTCGAGTCCTCACTAACACTAAGAAAGTGGATCACATCACTCCAGTTTCTGAAGTCTTTACACTGGCTTCCTGTGTGTCAAAGAATAAATTTCAAAATACTGCTGCTGGTTTATAAAGCACTGAATGGTTTAGCGCCCAAAATACATTTCTGACCTCCTGCTAAATTATGAACCATCCAGATCTCTCAGGTCTTCAGGGACTGGTCAGCTTTCTGTCCCCAGAGTCAGAACTAACATGGTAAAGCAGCGTTCAGTTATTATGCTCCAAATATCTGGAACAAACTCCCAGAAACCTGCAGGTCCGCTACAACTCTGACTACTTTTAAATCCAGGCTGAAGACTTTTCTTTTGTCGCTGCTTTTAATTGAACTATTCATATCTTAGACTGCACTGTAACTTTTATCCATGTACTTTTTCTTTTAATGTTTAATTGCACTGTAACTTTTATCCATGTATTTTTTCTTTTAATGTTTATTTTATTAGCTTTTCTTTTTAATGACTGATTTTAAATGCCATTTTCTTAATCTCTTTCATTTTTTGTAAAGCACTTTGAATTGCCTTGTGTTGAAAAGTGCTATATAAATAAACTTGCCTTGCCTTGCCTTGCCTTGCCTTGCCTTGCCCTCACTGTCAGAGATATCGCTAAAATACTTCCAAATTTCGCTTCTGGCGTCTTTTTTGTCAACAAGCCGAGGCGCAGCGGCAGTTGCACTCCCAATTGCAGCCATGCTTCTCGCTTTCTCACATGCTCTGGCAGCTAGCGCGTGCACGAGAGAGGGGAGGGATTTAGCACGTGCACGAGAGGGGAGGGACTGCAGGCACGGCTGCAGTGCAGGGAGTGGAAGCAGAGCACTGAACACACACGGCTCTTATTAAAACGGCGGTTTCTCACAGGAGTACTTTTTCCCCGTCATTCTTAAAGTACCGATACTAATGAAACGGAGGAATCGTAACGTTTTTAACGGCAGAGTATCGCGGTACCTTTCAAGTATCGGTACACCGTGCGGAGTCCGTGTCTCTCCCCCAAACTCACACATATACAATTCGATATGAACTGAAGAGCCGCATGAAACTAGGCAAAGAGCCGCATGCGGCTCGAGAGCCGCGGGTTGGCCACCCCTGCACTACACAATAGCTTCGTTTTTGTATAACAAATATTTGTATCTGGGTACCCTGTGTAGTGTTCCCGTTTTATATGTATTCATTTTTATATAAGGAGACATTCATATTTAAATATACAACATGTTATTAATCAGTGTAAAGCTGACCGTTGAGCGGCCTGAACCAAGCAAGGAGGCAGAGGCAGAACTTCCAAAATACAACCCGGTGTGGGCATTTATTAAATCATGAACACATGACACACAGCCTCAATCCTGCTGTTTCTCCCTGAACACAGCCTGCAGCCACCAGGATCTCACACACACTACCTCTAACACAGACAGAGAAACAGAGCCTAAATACCCACACACTAATCAGCAATTAGACACGGGGGGGGAGGAGACAACACAGGGCACCAGGTGAACATAATCAGGAGTAACAGACATGGGGAAAGGAAACACTTTTCAACAACAATGAAGCTAAACCCGTAACGGAGGCCGGGCCCAGAGATCACTTCCGTGACAATCAGGAAGAATAGAAATAGAATAGTTTCCACCCTCAGAGACATTGACTTGGTTTGATGAGCTGAATTGACTTTTATAATGGTGCTAATGGTTAATATTGGCCTGTAATTTAGACATGAAATGTATAAGAGCACACAGACTTAATCAGTTAATGTGGCTATATGATTCCAGTCAGTGTTTACAGAGAAATAGTTGCAGTAATTTTCGATTTCCATCTGTTAATGGCAATATATGATTTTTGCGTGCAAATACATGCACCGTGGATTGTTGAAAATCTGTCAAATGTTCTTACTTTAATGATTCTTACTATCTGTAGATCCATATTTAAACAAACACATAATTCATATCATGCAGATGGTAATCTATGGGCTCAGAACAGTCTCATAATACATACTTGTGTTTTTCAATGGACACACAAATGTGTTCTGTTTCATATACATGTAAATAAAATCCAAATACAGAAAAAAGTTTTACATATGTATTTTTGATCCTCACTTATTAGTTTCCCGTTTAAATCCCCTGCACCTGCAAACACAAACCGCTTTCTGTGCACGGATCGCTGTGCATTCGTGTGTGGGTTTTTCGAGACTCCCCTGACGGTCAGCCGATTCGTACTTGTAATTATTTCTATCTATAGCCAATCAGATGTCTCCTTCATTCTAAGCCAATCACATGAGCGCGCCCCCACGGGGGTAAGATTACTTCATATACGCATTTTGTGCAGTCCGGTCAGCTCGCTAAACAGAGGGCGGAGCTTCAGGTGATCATGCAGAGCTGCGTGTCTCCGTCAGACTCAGCAGCTGATCTGATCTCTCTCTTGCGTCCGGTTACACTTCACTCGCGTTTATGTCCATATCGATCAGATCCAGCTCTCCTGATCGGCCTTTATAGAGAGCACCGATCAAACTATTAAGAGTGAATATCGGCCGATATGACCGGCGGGGCTCCCCCCCCGTTGACTGTCTAGCACTGGCTTCGTAGTGCACTGATCGATTAGGCCTCCACACTCACAACAACTTCATACAGACATAACTAAAGCTCTGTATTCGCCATACAGGAAACACACATTTAAAACGGTTTTGCCTGCCGTTTTTGTGTACACAAGCATTCATCAATGGTTTGGAAAGTGGCGCTGTACCTTAATAATATAAAGGCTTGTATTTGCGTGCATTTCCTGTTCGGGAAAGTGGCGCTGTACTGAGAGTGAAGGGTGGTCCTGAGATTAGCGCCTGCAGGCAGGCTCCATGGGAGCTGTCAGCTCCGGACTGCGCAAAATGCCGTAAATTAAGCTCTACGTCATGAACGCAAGAAATCTACCCTCGTGGGGCGCGCTCATGTGATTGGCTTAGAATTGAGGAGACATCTGATTGGCTATAGATAGAAATAATTACAAGTACGAATCGGCTGACCGTCAGGTGGAGTCTCAAAAAACCCACACACGAATGCACAGCGATCCGTGCACAGAAAGCGGTTTTGTGTTTGCAGGTGCAGGGGATTTAACGGAAAAACAAATATGTGAGGATCAAAAATACATTATGTAAAACTTTTTCTGTATTGGATTTTAATTTACATGTATATGAAACGGAACACATTTGTGTGTGCATTGAATGAAACACAAGTATGGATCCTTTGTGCGGATCATGAAATACAAGTGTGAATCCTTCTGTGCGCATGTGTGTATTATGAGACTGTTCTGAGCCCATAGTAAATCAGGCTGTACACTTGGAGAGAGCATGTGCAGCCACAAGCTTTGTATTGAAGAAGAAGTATTGATTAAGGAAGTTATTACTAGTTGATTCAGGACATGGTTTATTAGTTGTGTTTTTTGCAGATTACAGTAAAAAAGTGTATCCTGCACACCGCAGTTAAAAGTCGAGCTGCGAGATTTGTGACTGCAATATAAAGCATTCAATCATGATCAATAAAGCTGCAAACCCCCTTTAGCCCTGCAGTCCATATAAGAATATAGGGATGGACATTTTGTATTTAAATTCATATAATACACATCAAACGGCCAGATGTAACTCTATCCTTATTCAGACTAGCTCAAGTTGTGTCTTAATATGGCTCATACGTGCTCTTAGGTTTTTCATTTCATTTGTTCCGATCATGGTATGCACAACTTAATGTATAATAATTGTTACAAAACATGTCTCTATAACACACTGTTGACCGAAAAGGAGCAGGGAGAAGAACATAATCTTATATTACCTGCCCCTTTCTAAAATAAAAACAAAATAAATAAAAATGGATGGTCTGTCCTTCATAACAGTATCGTAGGATAATAAGAGAAAACACAAAAACGTAACTACAAAAAATACTTATTTCCCACTTGACAGTTAATGGAAAGGAAACAAAACAACAACACCAAAAGATCACATGTACAAGTGCAACACCCTCATCTGAGATCCACTGTACTGGAGAATGCTTTCTATGCTGCCTTTCTGCAAGAAAAACCATCAGAAAGTAACTACAACGGAGTTATTATTATGTATTTATTTCAACAAGGACCATGCATACAAATACATTAATCTCATAAAAGAGAGGAGATTAACTATGCCAGATTTGGCAGTCCGGTCGGTACATAACAATCAACAAACACTAAAAACATTGCATAATCTCTATCACATAAACAATTATAAAACACGAGTTAAAGGTGGGGTGGGTAATTCACTTCAGAAACACTTGTTATATTCCATGGAATGCTCTTAACATCCCGATAGCAATGAATACATGAAATGCTTTGACAATAAATACATGAAAGAAATGTCATCAGTGGAAGCCGTGGCGCTGTAAAAAGCACGACCAATCATCTGAGCCGGCCCCGGCTAAAGTAACTGGATGGCCCTAACCTGCCCTGTCAGCCTTCCATCTGTTGCACAAACTGATCTCGTGGCCCTCATTGGTCATGTGCGTGTTCGTGTGTGTTGGAGGAGGGGCTCTGTAAGGAGTCTGAACGAAGGGGGCAGATTTTTTCGGCTGCGTCTTTTCACATTCTATAGCGCACTACGATCTGGTTTCTCCAGTCTTACCTACCCACCTTTTAAGTACCAGGTCAAAAAAAGTGGACATTGCACAGCAGTTTCAAGTGATGCTGGGAAGTGAAGGTGCATCTTGATATGGCACACACTTGATAGTAGCTACTTGCAGTATAAGCGGGTATGCAAAATGTCTACAGGTGGACACTAGGGCTGTTGCAAATACTCTTTTATTGCAATTTGCAAAGCCCTAGTTTGAAAGAACTCTTATGGATGTGAGGATATCTTTTAGCTTCTTTGTATTGTGTTGCTGTGCAGGTTTGAGAAGATGATCAGCGGCCTGTACCTGGGGGGAAGTGGTGCGGTCTCATCCTGGTGAGGATGACCAAAGAAAAGCTGCTGTTCCAGGGCAAGACTTCAGACAAAGCTCCTCAAAAACAGGGAGCTTCAGCACCAGCTTCAATCTACGGCAATCGACACTGACAAGTACGTGTGGTGTGTGTGTGTGTGTGTGTGTGTGTGTGTGTGTGTGTGTGTGTTGTGTGTCTGTGTGTTGATAGTGTGTTGTGTGTCTGTGTGATGATAGTGGTGTTGTGTGTGTGTGTGTTTGTGGTGTGTGTGTGTGTGTGTGTGTGTGTGTGTGGTGTGTGTGTGTGTGTGTGTGTGTGTGTGTGTGTGTGTGTGTGTGTGTGTGTGTGTGATGGTGTGGTTGTGTGGTGTGTGTGATGTGTGTGTGTGTGTGTGTGTGTGTGTGTATGTGTGGTGTGTATATGTGGTGTGTGTGTGTGTGTGTGTGTGTGTGTGTGTGTGTGTGTGTGTGTGTGTGTTGTGGTTTGCTTTTTGCTCTATTCGCACTCCCCGCTCTGAAACCTTTCACCATTCTCTTTGACATTGAAATGCAGTACACTCTCACACTGAGCTGAGATTGAACACATACATGAATAATATAATCAAAAGTATTTGCTACGTGTTCTTCCACACATGTAGCTCAGGCGTGAAGGAGAGACGGACAGCGGAGAGTTCACTGTGGCTGCACTCTTTGCATTTATGTACTTTTATGTAACCCACGTGTTGACAGCTGACCCCTTAGAACTAAAGAATAGGTTAAGCGTCTTCAAGGTCACAAAAAAAGTCTGATGGTTTGTTTAACTTGGCCTGAACATCTTATCACCTGATGGATGAGAGTGCTCACCACACAGTATTATATGTTTAAATCCTGCTCATTTAATGTTTTCTCTTACTTTTGGCGAATGTGCTTTTTTGCACAAAAAAGTACCTTTGCTTACATTTAAAGTCTAACTTTTAAGTAACGTGTTGTAATAAACTAAACCCTAACCCTGAAAAAATAAAGATGTATCATGTTAGTAATACACACCATAAACATTGATTAAAGTGCTTTTGCTGTACGGTATAGTTGCACACGCTCTCTCCACTTTCTTACTTATTTTGAGTATATTCACACGGCAATACAGCAACAATAAACAAATAAACAAAGATACATCTGACTGAAATAATAATTATTATATTATATTAAATGTTCACAATGAAATCGTTCTCATTAAGTTTTCGGCCAACATCATCGTAGTGAAAATCAGACTTTGTGATAATAAACTTTATATCCGTATATGATATGTTCCTGTTGCTACAGCGTGAACTCTCAGTAATGAGAGTTCACGTCTCACATTACCGTCCCCTGTGCAGCAGGGACGGGATCTACCGGATCTACCTGACATTAAAAGAAGAAGACTGTCCACACTTTCCCCAGAGTGAGCAGTGGTAGGACAGATAATTACTCTATGCAAATGAAGTAGAAACCAGAGGTCTGTACTACGAAGCCGGATTTTCACTTAGCAAGCTAACTTCAGGGTAAACTCTGGGTTTCGGTCCTACGACGCTGGTTCTCTTCTTACCAGGCTAGATCTCCATGGTAACTTATGCTGAACGGCTAACCTGCTCCGGAGCAGGTTTGGTTCTAGTATAAGAGATAAACTCAGTGAAAGCACCGCCTGCTGACCAATCAGAGCTCAGTGTGCGGAGTTTAAAGCGATCAAGTCATATTACAGGAGAAAGGAAATACAGAAAAGCTGCCGTTGCAGGAAAGACGGCCGGCAAAAAATCACCACTGTGTGAACGTGAACATTAATAGAATATTACCTCCCATCTTCAAGCAATCTTCAGACTAATATAACATTAGCGTTAAGAAAGCTTAATTAAATATCTGCCACAACATAAGTACCCACCCGGATCAGAGTAACATTAAGTGGCCTACAGTCCGCGGCACTGTAGGTGCAGACGTCGATGTGTCCCATTATCATTCATATCACATATCACATCATAATGTATCTATATTTCCTTATCTGAGTCAGCTTCTTGAGCCGTATCTGGCCGTGCAACACTTACATGT